TTTTTTTTTCATGTTTTTCGTTTTCTTTTGACAGACAAATGAACAAAAAAAGAAGAAGATATAACAGGAAAGAAGAAGAACGATGGATGGAATGATACAACAGCCGTACAATATATATATATGTATTTTTTATAAAAGAGAATCATTTTTTTCAGATCTGATGAATATATGGACACATGTTTTGAATAAATATATTGACATAAAGAAAAAACACATCATGACAACACATACACAATAGAAAGATAAATGATTTTTTTTTAATTTTAAAAATTTTCTCTTTGATTATATAATAACAATGAATCTGACGTTGTCAGTTGTTGTGGCCAAAAAATATTCTGTTGATCATTCCAATCATTTAATACAGATTGATATGAATAAAAATCCGATCCTATTGTCATAACAAAAAATAAGATTTTACAAATCAATAGAATACAAAAATTAACCTGAAGAATTATAATCATTCATTGTTGGTATTTGTACATTTGCATTCGTAGATAACGTATTAAAAAAAGGACTTGACGTACGACTACTACTAGCTAATGATGATGATGATCGACTATTATTTGAATCTATAGTTGGTTTTGATGGAATATGTGAATCATTGACATTCAATGTTTTAACATTTTGTGCTAAACTATTTAAATCATCATCGGATGATAATGATGAAGTTGTTTCTTCTCCGTCACTATATTCTTGATGTATTTGACCGTCAACACCATGTTTATATAATGGACACCATGTACCATCATCACCAAAGCAAACGGCAACCTCTCCAGGATCTATGGAACAAAAAAATGAAAGAATATTTCTCAGATTTTCTAAGAAAATTTACCAATCCACATAGTGAATATGGTTGGTAGGTAGCGATGAAGTGGTAAACAAGAACGTTCGGCAATCGATCTCAATATAGGATCTTTCCAATGTTTTGTTTGTAAACATCGATATGCACTTCCACGATGTGGTGATGCTAAAAGACGGAATTAGATAAATGAAAAATATATTTTTTGTCTTTATTACTTGGAAACCAATGATCAATAAATCGTTTCGACAATATGTCATGAAAAGAACGTTTAAAAAGATTTATTTGGTCATTTGATAATTTAACATGTGGCTTCATTAATCGTAATAAATAATTACATGCAACAGTAAGTTCTTTTTTCGGATTAGTCATTATCGATTGAAACAAAGGAACTAGAGGGGATGAAAAAAAAAGAAGAGGGATAATACAATCGATCTACAAATATATATAAACAAAAAATAATCGAGGGTGTACGAGAATTATCTGTAGTTTTATACAAAAGATTTGTGCATTATTATCGTTTGAAGAAATAAAATATGCTAGTTCGCAATATATTTTATTTATTAATAGTTTATAAATTAAGACGCAAAAGATCATCATCAGCTACAGTCATACTGACATTCATGAGAAAAAAAAGAAAAAGAAAGAAACAAACAAATGACTCATTTCAATCATCTGATCGTTTTATCTATTTATTTAAAAATGATAAAAAATCAAATAATTCGAATAGAAAAATCATAAACTCTTAATAATTCATTTATTTATTATTAATTTTTCGATTTCAAATCAATATTATCTATGTGTATAGATGTCACTAACAGAACTAACACATTTATACGGAAGATTGAAGGTATACGAATATTGATAATGGTAAACATTACATACTATGCGAAAAAAAAAGCTTCCTTCTATTACATATAACATCTGCATAGCTAATAAATGAAATTCTATATATTTTTGTCTCTTAATAGCTACTTAGACTTTTTTTTTCCTTATAGATTGTGAAGACGATAAGTGTGTCTTATATCATAATCGTTGTCGTTTACTATTTCTCCAAAAGCTCATGTCGTTTGGTCAAATCCTATTCGATCACCCGACGAGCAACGGCTAGCTCGTAAAAAAAAACAAACAAACAAAAGAATTCTTTATCCTTAAATTATTTTTCTTTTTACAAAAAAAATTTTCAAAACATTTTTCACAATGAATAAATCATCGAAAGAATTAGATTTATCATCAGTTATAACTCAAGTACCACATGATGATGATAATAATAATCGAGCAACATCATTACCAACTACTATTGTTACAAATGCTAATTCTGGAGCAACAAATAGTACTAAAAGTATTTACGAAGAAAAAAATTTGATAAATCTTAAAACTTTTCGTTATTTTTTTTAGAACGTTCTAGCCGAAAACAACGTGTTATATCTTTATTATTATGTTGTTTGGGTGGTTCTTGTCGACACCGACCAGCAAGAGCAAATTACTCATCATCATCAGCCGATACTCCTGCAGATGAGGTAAATAAAACTAAGCAAAAATACAATAAAAACTGTTGTTTCTTATTGTTGTGTTATATTCGTCTTTTTTATAGCGTGTTGCATTAAACCCTCAGATTAACACACAGATAGAGGTATATATACATATAAATATATGTAATCGGGTGTATTGGTTTTTAAAAAAAAATACATAACAAAAAAGTTTTGATTAAATCTTCTTGGAACATTAATTAACAGAAAATAATAAAAATTTTGTATTATTTAGAAAATAAAACTTTTTTTTTCTTCATATTTTTTAGTCGAATGAAAAATCTTTATTACCAATATTACGTGATAATTTACGAGGAAAAATATGTTTAGTTATTGATCTTGATGAAACCCTTGTTCATTCGGTATTTCGACCTGTACCTAATGCAGATTTTATTGTTCCTGTTGAAATTGATGGACAAGTACATCAAGTAAGTTTTAGCAAAAAATATTTATTCAGAAGAATTTTGATGTCTAAAAGTCAACCGTGTTACTCCTCCTTTTTTTTCACGTCAAAAAAAAATAATAATAATTAACGGAAGGAAATGGCGTGCGATGAACTAAAAAAAATGCAATCGTCCAATGTAATTCTAAGATCCAGGGTTAAATTATTAAAAGTTTCCAAGAGCTTTTGTGTAAAGTATAAATTAGCTTCATAGAAATAATTTGAAGATTTTTCGTTATTTTAATTTCAAGTAAAATATTACAAAAAGAATTATTCTTTTTTTGGTCTTTAGTTCTCATCTGTGTATTCCCATAAAACATCAAAATATATCAAACTTACTAATGTCAGAATAAATTGATTGAAGATGACAGTACTATTTCCTGTTGACTATAATTTACAGAGAAAAGAAAAATAATATGTCAAATTTATGAATATGAATTATTGATTAAATTTATTATTTATCTAATAAGTACATATGTAATCTTTTTTGTCTTTAGATTTATGTTACGAAACGACCGTATGTTGATGAATTTTTACGTCGCGTTGGTGAATTATATGAATGTGTTTTATTTACAGCTAGTTTAGCTAAAGTAATAATACATTGTAAATTTCTTTAAATAATTATTGTCGTCTTATTTATTTATTTAAAGTATGCCGATCCTGTAGCTGATTTACTTGATCCAAATCGTATATTTCATTCGAGACTCTTTCGTGAATCTTGTACATATTATAATGGTAAATATTTCATTTTTTCCGAATAGGAAAAAAAAATAAAGTTTAATTATTTTTCTTTTAGGAAATTATATAAAAGATCTTAGTCGATTAGGTCGAGATATACGAAAAGTAATCATTATTGATAATTCACCATTATCCTATTTATTTCATCAAGATAATGCTGTATGTTAAAATCTAAAATATTAAATTTATAAAAATTAATCTTTTTTTTTTGTAAAAGGTTCCTGTCACCAGTTGGTTTGATGATATGCGCGATACTGAATTACTCTCACTTATCCCAATATTTGAACGCCTTGCAACAGTCGATGATGTAGTACCTGCATTACAAGATATTCATCATCGACGTGCAGTAGTTTAGAAAACAATTAATTCTTTTTTCTTTCTTGTGTGATTCTTTTTATTGTTGTTGTCGTCGTCGTCGTTGTTGTTCTTCTTTATCATACAGTGCCGTTTGTCTTTCTCATTGTCGGTTTTGAATAACAATAACAATTCGTATGTTAAACAGACTTATTTACACGATGTGTATCCATTTTTTTTTCGATCATCTTTCTATTTTTCTCTCTACTACGTATATATCCTTTAACGAAGAAATAGACAGAATCTATGCAAACAAAAAATATATATATATATACTATTATTATCTTCGCATTCCTTTTGATGATTTGTTTTCTTTTTTATTTTATTGTTGAATAGAATATTTCCTATCCTTTTCAGCTAACATTTACATAAAGAAAGACAATGGCCTGTTATGAGTGTTTGTACGTGTATATTTTTTTTTCTTTCGTGTATATAAGGACAATGTGAGCGTGTGATAGAGGAGGATTTTATTCTCTTGGAACAGTTGTAGACATACACATTATAATATACTCCTTTTAGAAGAACAGTGTTGTTCAAATAGATTGTTTAACTTCGTTTTTTTTCTCTTTTTTGTGCTACATATTTCATTGCTGGTGCTAATTCATATATACATATTTCGTTTCTATTTTTTGGCTGTTGGCGGCTATTGCACCCTTCTTATTCTTCTTCTTTTTTTTTTGTTTCGTTGTTAATGTTATTTCTTTTCTTGCACCTTTTGATTTTTTTCGCTCCCATTTTCTCATTTAAAACAAAATACTTGTAACATTTTGTCAATCTATTTACTTCCTTAAATGTAATAAATAATCCTAACTTGAAAAGAGCCAAAATAACTTAAGCAAAAAATAAACTAATTGTTTTCAGATGGCACTTAAAAGCAATATTTTGTTATTAGATGGAATAATTATACACTAATGCATTCATGAATACATATAGATAATTTTAAATCCTATTATACTGATTTTAGATGCCGACTATTTATGAAACAGATAGTCTTGATGAAGCTATTGATATTATTCAAGATGAGAATAAAGTAATAAAATATTCTAACTTTTATGCATGATTAATATCCAAAAATAAAATAATACACGATTAAATTCACTTAATGATGAATAGCAATTGAGGTTTTAAAATAATACATTAAATCTGTCCTTGTTCAGATTATTCATTCGAAATACATAATCATTTTACACAAAAAAAAAGATTTATTCATGCATAATAGTATAGAAAGAAAGAAAAAATTATAATAATCTTTTATCTTTAAGCGATATCCATTTATTCTGCATAAATATGATATTGGGTCATGTCAAGAAAAATGGACATGTGATTATTTAGCAACAAAAATCGGTTCAAAACCAGTAAGAATACATGTATCACAAGATCCAATGATGGATTTTGTTCGAAAAAATTTTACTTATGAGTATGTTTTTCTAGGAAAAAATTCTTTTTTTTATTTTTTATTCTTTGTTTATATAATCTAGAACTTTACCTTTCAATAAACTTATTCATCGTTGTGAACGAACAGTAAATGATGAATATTTTTCAACACCCAATGAACATTATTATTTTCGAGCACTTGGTGATAATCAACGAACAGATATTGCTAATATTGAGTAAGAATGAATTAATAAAAAAATCTTAATTCTTTAAATTAAGACCGAAGTCTCTGCAGTATTCACTCTTTGACGACGGGCTTGTTTTTTTCAAAATAATTGATTATTAATTGACTTCATTTACTTTTCAAAATGCATCACAAAGATGTGTATAATACACACTGTAAGTTTTGTCACTTCTGAGCCGGTCGATCCTCACCGATTTCAGACAAATGTAGATGTGTGTCAGTTTAAGATTAGTTAGAAATGATACATCTATGTCAGTTGTCTCATTTAAAAAATAGTTACAATTCATATCTAAACATTTTTCTGATTGTTTATTTTCTTTCAAGTAAAATAATTCATCAGTCAGTCTTTGAAAGAAAATTACAGCGTAGTTATAATAGGTCTGGACCAGTAGATCAAGTTGAATCAGCCGGTTCTTACCCATCTAAAAAGACTTTAAGACCGGACTGACGGAGTTTTTCTCCACCAGTTACAAGTCTCACCTCAATAATCGTAGAGTCTATGATGCATATATATGTTACATGGATCTATAATCTATTCGAATACTTATTAAATGTTTGCCAGTACGGATTTATCTGGTATTTGCTCTGAATGATACTTGGTATCCAGCCGAATAATATTTTTTTGTATATGGATCGATAATCTATGAACCTAATGATTAATATCGAATTGAATTGTTATGTAGTAGAATTCACATTTAATTAGTTTAATAGCATGTACAACTGCAGCTCGCACGTACCTAATCTTTGATTCATCCTATCAAACGAAGCCCTTCCAATAAGAAGAAATTCTCTAGAATAAATTGTGGAACACTGATTAGAAGAAAAAAAAACCTTAAGAGTTCAGTTCGAGCATAAAATATTTTAATTTACTATTGATATTTCAAATAGAATTTTTGATATATAAAATCAGTTGTTAATCTTAATTATTTTTTATTTCTAGAAAACATTTTCCAGGTATTGCCAATGATATTAAATATCCGCCATTATTTTCTACTGAACAATTTTTTTCCAGTGTATTACGTATTGGTTCAGCCAATACACAATTGTGGACTCATTATGATATCATGGATAATACTCTCATTCAAGTTCATGGTACAAAACGACTTATTATGTTTAAACCGAGTGATATCGATTATCTCTATATCGATGGCGATAAATCATTAGTAAACGATATTGAAAATCCAGATTTTGAAACATATCCACTTATTCGTCAAGCGACATATTATACTGGAACTTTGCAAGCAGGAGATTGTCTATTTATTCCTGGTTTGTATAATTCATTGAAAATAGAATCTCGTATTATTATTTTATTTATATAGCACTTTGGTTTCATAATATAAAATCATTGGATACTTATTCTGTTTCTGTCAATGTTTTTTGGCGTCATTTAAATATTGATTTTTATGAACCAAAAGATTTATATGGTAATAAAGATCTTGTACCATTTAGTCGTTCAATTGGACAACTTGCAAAATCTTTAAATGAACTTGATAAACAATTACCATCTGTTTATGTTGATTTTTATGCTAAACGTTTACGTTGTTATCTTGATAATTATATAAAAGAAAATGAAAAGAAAATTAACAAATAGAAATTGAATACTATTCAGTTATTTTCTTTTTTTTTTTGTGTAAGTTAATACCTCTAGCCGAGAACGTATAAAAGAACATGCAAATATAGATTTTTCTTTTGATAATTATATTTTTTGTTTTTAAAAAAAATAAAGAAAATGCCGTTTGCTGTTAAAGATGTTCTTCAACATAAACGTAATGAACGTCAAATACGTGAAATTCATGAACGTGAATATTTAAAATATATTTCAACTCTCCAACAACAATCATTTCCATCTAATCTATTTCATTTATCAAGTGAATACATTAAAGAAATTGAACGTTCACAATTAAGATATTTATTTAATAAAAATATACAATATGAACGTATTCAACAGGAAAATAATTTATTAACTCAACGTTTATTTAAAACGAATAAACAAACAATGATTGATAATAAAAACAATAAATATCAACAAAATTTAGATATATTTAAATCAAAATATACTCAACAACGTTCAAATGAATATCAACGTATTAAAAATGAAAATCATCTTTTAAGTCAACGTATAAATAATGTACGTGGACAAGTCGTTAACAAACAACAATGTGATCAAGATTGGCAAAGACAAATTAAAGTTATGAAAAAATCGTGTGATTATCCAGAACATATTGATCAATTTGTATCGAATAATAATACAAATCAATATAGAAAAACATGCAAATGGAATCAACGATATCATAATATTCAACGTTCTTCGAAAATAACAGCACATCCAATAGCGTTATTACTTGAATTATCTGATTAGACAAAATTGGTTATTATTATTTTCTAATGTTGATTATAATTGATAATTTTATATATCATAAAAAAGAATTGTGTAATAACAGCTTTCATTTTAATTAGAAAAATCACAGTCTTCACTCGACGTTTAAGTATATGTTGTATCTTTCGTAATTCACTTTCCAAAAATAAATCATACTATATGATTAAAAAAAGAACTATATTTATGAATTTGACTTCCGACATTCAGTACTACGAAACTGTAATACGTAAAGACTAGTAATTAGCCAATGATTATAAAAAACACAGAACATGCATTAAATAAAACTGGTTTGTTGCCATTGACAATATTAGGAAATCTTTGCAATTCATAACGTTAAAACTTGTACAGTTTCTCAATGATTTTAAACTATGAGAAGGTGAAAACAAATATTTTGATGAAAAAAACATTGGATTGGGGCTGCTCGGAAATCAGTTGATCGGTAGGGGATCCGCCAAAAATCACGCTCTAGCTATTTTACCAAGGAGGAAAAAGCGGATTGTAGGATCCCGAGATCCTCCGTATCCCAAATCAATCCTCTGGATTGTGACCTTATCCCGGATAGACGGAATTTACTTTTTTCCCCTTGTATTTTCCCCTGTTTTTTTTGTATGGAAGATGATCACAGGATGAAAGGGGGTTCGTACCTTGCAAGATGTCAACAACCTGCCGTGTTTGATTACAGTAGAACAGGCAGGTACCAGGATATGAATGTAGTAACCTGTCAACCTGTAAGAAGTCTGTTATAGTCGATATTGTCGAAATCTATTATTCAACACAGAGAGATGAATAAAAGAAGTAAGCCCTCAACCATACTAGATTGATCGTCAATATATATTCAATGAAAATTGAAGTCTAGAAGTTCTATTCTTTATCGTTACATATAGCGATTTAAATGTATTTAATTTTCAAATTTTGTGTTTTACCACATCCTTTCCTACTGATAGGCTATTTATAACAGGGCAGGGCAGGATCAGGTTACAGGTTGTAATAATATTGCAACCTACAGTGCACCAAAGGAGGTCAAAAATGATCATGTGATTTCTGAGTAGACTCATATTGTTTATGTGTATATTTAAGAATCATTATGACAATATCAACTATAATAAATATATGTATAAAATCTAACAATTTAATTTTACAAAACAAATATTTGCAAAAAATAAGACTCTTCATGTTCGATCTCTATTATTTTATAAATGAAATAACTTCATCGAAATCTAACTGTATTAAGGTCATATTGTGTTGAAATCGAAATATTTCATTTTAAATAATTGAATAATATATATATATATATTAGATAATCTTGTTTAAAAATAAACAATAAACTAAAAATTTTTAAATGATCAACTGAAGTTTCCACTTCAGTTGATCATTTTTTACTTTTGAAAGACTATCGAACATATGATATTAAATGTTTAACGTTTTGTTTTTTTCTCTCATATAAATTAAAGAAAGACTGAAGAAATATTTTTTTTCGTATGTTTATGTATGAACCGATCTGAGTGCTGTGACTCGTTTGTCTGACAATTGTCGACATACACTAAGCGTAGATAATGTTGTTCGTTTAGTATTTGTCGGTGTTCCAGAACTATTTATTGAAAGTTTTGATGATGATGATATTCTTCGATGTTCTTTACCAGATTTTAAATCATTTGTTTGTAATTTTGATTGTGGTGTAACAGCA